AAGTTTTCGACATAGTTGGAAGATTAGACATATAAAAAAAAAAAAGAAGAAAGAAAAGGGAGAATTTTTTTTTGTACAAAAAGAACTTTGAATAGGTATTAGAACAAAAATGGAAGGCAATAAAGAAAGAAAAGGCAATGACATAACCTATTGAATATAATACAAATACAACACCACCATATGTCAGAGTAATCAAAATCACACCTCTAGTCCAATGAATAGTCGCAACATAATGAAGACATCACAAATGTGACAAAAATATCCTCTCAATTTCCTTGTTGTTCAATAAAAGACAGTTTCTTTTTATACAAATTCTTTCAATACAAATAAAGTTGTAGAGTAACATATATACACACACACACTTCTATTTCTCTTTTTTATCTTTTCAATCACGCGTAATTTTTGAAATTCTTACATCGTTGTGAAATTGAGTATGTTCTCTTTTTTTTGGTTAAAAAAAAAATTGGTTCGATGTTTTATCTACATTTAAAAAAGAGAAATACAGAGAAACATAACGAAGGTCATTAATGAAGAGTAAAGGTTTTCTCAAATTTTAACAAAAATTAAACAATACCGGAGAAAATGTCGAGTTTTGTACGAAAACCGAGTAGACGACGAAAAACTAGTGTAGAAGTCAAAACTACAGGCGTAAGTTTCATCTTTATTTACTTTTGAATGAGTTCGATATTAAGCTTTGTAAAATGGTGACAGAGCTCATTTCGTTTTCTCGTATTTCATTTTCTTTACTCAACAACAAAATGACAGCAAAAATTCTAGAATAAAATGTTTTGTTTCATTTGCATGGGCACATGTCATTGAATCAGTCAAACAGGATATAAAAGAAAGATTTAATCTCTCTCTAACCGTTTTGTCTATCATCGACACTACGCTTTAAAAGGTCATTCCTCTATCTGATTATAATGTAAAATTAGAACAAAACACATCGATCATAAAACTATAATTGAATCAAAAATAAAATAGAAGAGTTGATCAAAGGTATAAAAAAAAGTATTGTGATTGTACACTCATTGTATTTTGAAAATGACTTCATCGTCTACTCATCCTTTTTTAACATTACTAAAAAAAAATTATGGTCGAGGAAGTGATTGTTCATTAAATCAACAAGGTATTAATGAGTTACAGGATGCCATTGGATTTTCAACATTACCTGATCAAATACATAAAAAAACGCTTAAACGTGGCTTTGAATTTACAATTATGGTTGTTGGTAAGCAAATATAAATTAAAATTATTAAAAGATATCATATTTAAAGGTTAATTTTTTTGTTATTTAATATTTGAAGGAGAATCTGGTTTAGGCAAATCTACATTTATCAATACGTTGTTTATGACAGAATTATATTCGGATAGAGCATCGCCAAATGGTTCCTCATCACCGATTGGTAAAGGTAAATTAAATTATCGTCTACAAAACTTAAAACACAAATCTTTTTTATTTTTCTTCATTTTTATTGTTTTTAAGTTCATACGCATCGAACTGTTCAGATTGAAACACGAACAGTTGAACTTGAAGAAAAAGGTGTTAAACTACGCTTAACGGTTGTTGATACACCAGGATTTGGCGATGGTCTTAATTCAACTGATTGGTAAAATATTTAAAATGAATTTCGTTTATGAATCATGAAAAAAACTTTCTTTTTCTAGTTGGAAACCAATCTCTGAATTTATTGATCAACAATTTTTAAAATATTTTCAAGCAGAAACAAGTTTTGGTGTTGAACGAAAATATGTACAAGATCAACGTGTTCATTGTTGCCTTTATTTTATTCCACCTAGTATTAGAGGGTAAATTTGAAAAAAAAGATCATTCTATTCCCTTATAATATAAAAATTTTAACTTCATTTAGATTAAGACCGATTGATCGAGATTTTTTATTTCATTTACAACATAAAGTGAACGTTATCCCCGTCATAGCAAAAGCAGATACATTGATAAAATCAGAATTAGCAGCGTTAAAAAAACAAGTATGTTATGAGATTCTATTTTCTTTTAAACTAATTTTGAATGAAAATATATTGTATTTTAGCTTCTAAATGATATAGAGAAACATGGTATTCAATTGTATGATTTTCCAGAGAGTGATGCCGATCAAGACGAAGAGAGTCTTCAATTAGATCGAACATTAAGAGTAAGAGAGAAAAATAGTGAAAAGTTTATAGTCAATTTTTTATTATTATTTACAAAAATTTATTTTAGGAGTCGATTCCATTTGCTATTATAGGCTCAAATGCCATACTTGAATCAAATGGTCATAAAATACGTGCTCGCACCTATCCATGGGGTGTGATTGATGTTGAGGATGCAAAATACAGTGATCTACCACATTTAAGAGAAATGTTATGCAAGTAAGAAACGCGTATTTCAGTTCTTTAAAATTTTCATAATTTCAAAAAAAGATTGATTATTATACTGTGTTGAATAGCCGTTTGATTAAAAACTTATTAATAATTATTTTGTTCATTTTAGAACTCATTTGCAAGATTTGAAAGATATTACATCGGATGTTCATTACGAAAATTATCGTGCACAACAAATGATAGGAAAGAAAACAATAAACGATATTTATGAGTAAGATTATATGAATATATTTTATATTTTGCCTTCTCGTTCTAAAATTAATATTTCAATTTTTTTTTCAGAGATGATCCTTATGAATCTGACGATACAAAACAGAAACTTTTACAACAGAAAGATGAACAAGTACACATTTAGAGTAAAAAATGATTTCTAATTTAAAAACATTGTTTTCCTTCTAGATACGCGAAATGAAACAACTTCTACACGATATGCAGCAAAAAATGAATCCATATCATACAATTAGCAACAACAGTGAAAGTGGAGAAAGATCAATTAAAATTTAATTAACATCAAGACATCTTTAATAAAATTGTATCACGTTACAGTGTAGCAAAACGATTTAGTCTACGAAAATCAATGAAAAACCAAGATCCATTCTTGTTGTCGACAATTTGTGTGGTATTACAGTCCATTTGTTCCTCCTAAAAACCAATATTTTTGTGCTTTTGAAGAAAAGAGGATATTTTTTTTTTCACATATTTAAATAACTTGTACATGGTAATAGATGCATAGTCCGAAAAAAATGGATCATCTTTCCACTCTGCTTATTCTTGTTTCAAATATGGTTATCCTACATTTGGAGAGGATTAAAGCACTTACTTGTATATTAAAAGAAGCTATTTTTTTTACAAGTATCAGCATTTTCCAGTCTAACTACAAAACGTAGTATAAAAAAACTAATACGATGGATTATTCGTCAATCGTCTACGATTCACATGTGTATCAATCGGACGAACATTCGAAGACGTGAAAGGGTTACCGAGAATAAATGTCAGAGGATGTGATGCAGTTGAAGGATTGCTTCTTCTTGCAAATGTTGTTTTATCACTAAGAATGGATGATACTAGAGGAAATTGCTGCGATTGATCCAAAAATGACGAATTTGACTCTAGAAGTATATCATCGTCGGTTATCGTTAATCGATGTCTAATATCACTGTTTTTGATTGATCCGTCAACAACATTATAAAGTGGCGTTTTAGTCGCTGGGTGTCGGAGTTTTGATGGTGGTTGCTGTTGCTGATGATCTATTTTTCGTCGTGATTCGTCGGCATCTTTTTCAAATAATTCTGATACACTTGATTGTTTCAATTCAACAGTAGGTGATGGAAATTTTTTCGATGGTTTATTCGAATAGTCATATATATTAGATACAATATTTGATTGTCTTTTGATAGAAACGTTTAAATCTGGTGGTAGTTGAACCTCTTTGTCTGAATGGCAGTTCATCGATTGTTTTTCCGTTTCGTAAACGACTGATTCTTTGGTATTATTAATACCAGTGACATTTGTTTTTGGTTGATAATATTCTGAATAGAGTATTAGTGTTGCGACACAGGCACAAATACACAATAGAGCAATTAGTATCGGAATCCATGTACCATTTTTTCGTACTCTTAAAAAATTGTTAACAAAATCTTTATTTATTTTATTTTCGATAATATTAGATCCATTACAACGATAATATCCGCGATAAATATCATAACTCACTTTTTCAATGTACAATGCATCATTCACAATATATTTTGGACGAAATTGAACTCCATCAGGTAAATTTGTTCTATAAGATTTTCCATCTTTACTAAAATCCCACAGTAATGAGACGTTTGTACCATATGTAATACACGAAATTGTAATGGATTTTCCAGTATCAATAATTATTGAAAAGAATGCTTTTTGGGGTATTTCCACAACATGATATACATTTAGATATGAACTTATTACACTGTTATTTAAATATTTTACTTCACATTCAACTGGTTGAATCAATGTTGAATAATTGAATTTTTGATGAATTATTAGTTTAATACTACCATTTGCTTTAACATTTACTTCGTTAATTTGAAATTTTTTATCAACTTCCCATTTGCCAGTTACGGCTGTTAATTGCATATAATTAACACTCGACAGTGTATTTGAGTAACATGTTATAATTGATTGTTTAGAATAATTGAATGGATAAACGTCTGATTTAATAAGCGGTTTTCCAAATGACAGAGTAGACAAAATAGAAAATAAGAAAAGATTATAGAGAATGATTAATGACCATTGTTTCAATGTTATAAGTACCAATTCACTTTGCATGACCGAGTACCGACAAACGTTAATTGTCTACAAATCAGACGGAAGTTGAACGAATGATATTCAGTCATTTCATGACGTTTGTAATGACAATAGGATATCATTATGATAATTTTTGCGTTCTGTAAATTGCATTGCGCCATTACACATGAATAAGGATCTTTATTAAATACAAGCTGTTGACTTTTTCATGCAATTTTTCAAAATAGTGTGTAAAATAATAATTTGTTATTAAAAATGGATGTAACGTTATCTATCAAACATATGAAAACATTGCATTCTATTCGATCTCTCAACTTTTTATTTATTGATGTTTTGTGTTTTAATTACAGTGTCATATCTACAATCACTCTATATTATTCACTATCTTTATTTTGTGTTTATGATGAACTTTTTCCATTAATTCAATTTCTATTTTTAGAGTAAATATTCATTCTGTATTTTTAGGAAAAAATCTATAAGATAAGTTATATTATTTTTATTATTTGAGAAAAATTGTATGATAATTGTTTGGTATAAGTTGCACTTCATACTAGATTTCAATAGAAGTGCCATAAACAACATAGATAAGCTTTTCAAATCTAAATCTATTTTTATCATTGTACGAATCAAAGACATATAATTCTCATAAATAAATAGTTATTTCTAGGTGATTTCCTTGTATGCAATTAGTGTCTTTATCTAATTATCAAATTATTCTTTGCCCAGTAGTAACATTTCGATAGATAAAAAACATTTTTCTCTCTTCATATATAATAATAATAATAAAATATTTATAAATCAAAGAATCAATGTCTTCTATCTTTCTATAATATATACATTTTTTAAGCTGAAAAGAAGAGTACTTTTCAAGTAGTCGTGGCTGCCACTTTCTCATATATGCGTGCTTTGTGTACATTAATAATAAAAATGAGAAGTTATGTTGGATTTATAAACATGTTAAAAAAAAGAAGAGAGAAGTGAAGAAGAGAAGAGGAAGAAATACAATGACCCCCGTATTTAATCCGGAACAAGGCACATATGAAAAATTTTGTATTTCCGTTAAGAAATTGGTCACACTAGCGTATATTCATTCAAAAAAAGGAAAAAAAAATAGAAAATCAAAAAAGTAAACTAATGAAAGTCGATCTCTATCATTTTTTTTTCTGTTTTATGTTTAATATTCAACAACGATTGGAAATAATCATTTAGTGAATTCGATTAGACAGACATTAAAACTTAAACTAAAAGTATCGAAATACAAAACGTTGTCTATTATAATAATGACTACTAGTGCTACAGATGGAACAACAGAAGAGGAGAATGAAAACACAAAATTGGTTGACAATAAAGTGGTTGATAATGATGAAACATTAAATAATGATGTGACTACAATTACAAAAGATAAATCAATAGAAATTCCAGTAATATCGAAAAAACATTTAAGAAAACGAAGTTTATCATATCGAAACACCATCCATATTTGCGATCGACTATTGGAAAGATCGTAAGTATTGGTTGAAAGGTCATTTTTGTATAATTGCTACCTTTGCATGCATATAATGTTCATAAAGTCAGGTTTTTTTCACTTTTAATCAGCCTTTTCTTTCCTGATGGCATTTATAAATATCATTTTTTGATTAGTATATCCATTGATCTTCAAGTTTCTGAAACATCCGAAAAACTTATGTTTTCCCAGTAAATTCCATTTCCGAACTTTCAGATTTAGTCATGACAAAGAAAGGGTTAATCTTAGTGCGATTTGTAGTACCATTCAGTTCCATACTTCTTTGCTACTTTAGACAACTATTTGGCAGCTTTAATGCCTATAATAGATTACCGTCTACTACAAAGAAGAATCATATTCTATCGGGAGAGATAATAGTCTTTCGCAAAATTGTTGATAACATTGATGATCTCTGCAGGTATAGAGAATCAAACTACAATTAAATTTCATGAGAAAAAAATGACATATTCATCTCTGGAGCAATGGTCTCTGAAGCTTTATATACGTCAAACAAAGAAAAAAAAATCGAAATTTTGAGAAGTTTCAATATACAAAAACTCTTTTTCACAGTATGACAAAGTCTCGCCATAGCTTTTAGTTACACGACGGAAAAACGTTTCTTTGCTCAAACGTTTATACTACTCGCAGTTCATTGGTTCAAGATCTTCAAATATGTTTAACGTACGTTTCAATTTGCAAAACTAGGGGTTTTTTTAATATAGGATACAGAAATATTACTAAACTATGACTTCTTTAGTGAAGAATTCATCAAACATTGGAAACAATAACAGCATGATCATAAGATTAGTGTGCTAAAATGCGCATCTATTTTTTAGATTTCAAATAGTTCTATGGTTATACTCCTATTATGTTGCGCTGTTTGATGTGCGAAATGCATATATAAAGCATCTGAGCGCTATTCATGTTAAATAATGACTAAGTTTCTTCTTTTTCTCTGTCTCTCGCTCTTTCTTTATAAGCAATGCAATCAATTAGAACATATTGTAACAATAGGAGATCATACATGTCATTTTATATAGATGACAACAGTATGTCAGAAAAACTGAACTTTTCATCCTTTCTTCTTTTTTTTTTTTCTATTCGGGGTCATTAGAAGTTTTCAGTAATGGACACAACTTACTATTTTCTTTTTAATTTCCGTCAAGCACACAGTTTTCCTGTAGTTGATGAAAAGAGTCGAGGATGTTTCTGAATATTATATCTATAGCTATGGAAGAAAAAAGAGAGTATATATATCTATAGGGAGAATATAGCTCTAATAAATGTCGCAAATGAACTGTGTGTTGAACTCTACATGTCAGACACTGTTAACAGAATGAACTATTTAGTATAATTGAGGTAAGCGTTTAGATATTTACGTGTGATCTATAGTCTAGTCTTTTTTCATATTTTGAATAGTTGATAATTGGTCCTAAGAGACTGATGAGTACTGTTTGTTTGATTATGTCATGAAATTTTGAGTAATTATTTTTTAGACTTACTTTTCTAAAATTAAAAAATTTTTGAGATGATGCGTGTAGAAGAGCATCAACTTCGAAACCTTCTAATAGAAACAAGAGCTCTTTTCCTGTCACAGAGAGACTTACTGTTAATTACTAACATGAAAGGATAGAGAAATGTACAGAATACAATAAATTCACGAAACAAAATGTAAGAATAGATCTGTGGGAAGGTATTTATCGTAGATTATTTTGCTGAAATTTCACACCTTCATTGGATTTTATTGAGTAACAAGTTATCACCTAGTGTGATAGATCTTCTCCGATCAATGATAGATCGAGAAAGAACAGAACAGTTATTTCATAAACAGAAAAAAATAGATTTTCTTTTTGTATATATGTGTAACCATATCTATCACTGTCACATTCTTTTTGCCCGATCGATTGTTTATGGATGGTTCTTTTATCGAAATTCATTAATATTTTCCAGAAATACATATATCTTAGTCACAAGTTTTCTAATTGTTAAAGACGGAACAACAGGTGAGTTTGAAGTCAATTATTGTATACGTATTAAATCGAATATTAATGCTGAAATAGTAAATCATCTATGATCACTGTTAAACAAGTGTCATTAATATGAGTACAGTCCAAGATATCTGCATGATAGCCTTTATACTATATACATAATTTTATTTTCAATCACCTATGAGAAAATATTTCTGTTGAAAAAAATGTCGTATGAAAACTTTTTTTCTATACATAATTTTAAGAAACATCAGCAAGTTGAATGATTTTTGAAAATTAAATAATCAAAAAAGAAACAATTTCGACATAAATTAGATTTCGTATCTTTCACGGTACTATTGCTACTTTTAGTGGCTTAACGTGGCCGTTCAAATCGCGTCACCATACAGATGATGTCTCTCGTAGGAAGATTGATGATATAGATGAGACAAAAAAACATATTGTTCATGTAACATTTATTGTTGCTGCTGGCAATCTTAGATCGTATACATTTGATAATGCATGATAGAAAAGGATGAGTTTATTGTCAAATTCATGATCATCATCATCATCATTTGACATCAATCATCTTGTTGCTTAATCACAAGTGCATGAAGCAGATAGCTTTTTTCACTTACACTTAACCTCATATATACTATTACCAGTTTTTAGAACTGTTAAACCACATGATGAAAAATGCCATAATGTGAGAAAATAACACGTTAGGTTGTACTACAAAAAAAACCCGAGGTGCAGAATCTACCCGTGAGATTAGGAAATTTCCCCCGACGGTAAAAGATCATAATAAAATTTTCCCGGCATGAAACAAAAGAAAAAACAAAACAATGCGATTTTATTGTTGCTAAAAGTACTGCTTCTTCAGCCTCTAAGTTGAAAACTACTATTTCTGTTTAATGATCACAGATGTCTGATTCTGGTATTTTCGCTGCTTGTTCTTGACGTAAACGTTTTAATACAATTGAATTAAGAGAAACTAATTTTCATACTTCATATTGTTCGCTCTTTTTATAAAACAACCATTGTTTATCTCTTAGTTGACTAAAGTAATTATTGAAGTCGTTAAAGGCTAACATAATTCTTCGTTTTTCCAAAACCGAAAAAAAATTTTTTCCCCCGATGGCCGTCAGCGCAAACGGGTAGATTCTGCACCTATGAAAAAACCGTTGCTTTATTTTGCGAAATTTAATTTATATCATTTTTGTTCAAGAAAAGTAAACGAATGTTGACAAATTTTTTTTGTTTGATTCGAAATAACTATTTTATTTTAATAAAAACAAATATACGTGTAATCTGTGGTTCCGATATGATTTTATGACATACTATTCAAAGAAAAGAAGTAATTGAATTGATGCGCACCATTTGTTTGTGCCATTGCTTTCACATAAAACTTTAGCAACGCCCAACATACATTTACTTTTCACTTTCTGTCATGTCCTCTTTTTCTTGATACCTCGAATAAAAGAAAATATTCAAATAGTTAATATCTCTCCTACTATTGTCCACTTTATTTTAGTCTCTCTTATGATTGA